ACCACCACTACTACTATTGTACTACCATCATCACCACTACCACCACTACTACTACATTGGAGTTTGGCACATGTCCAGATCCCATCACCTTTCTCAGATAGATTCTCTCCCTGTAGAGATACTAGGGACCTGTTTCTAGGAGAATTTGAGGAGTGTATGGGAAATGCCTTAAAGAGCCTATAGAGCATTTGTAGACATGTTGGACCTGGTTCTGGTTGGCTGATGTGGTTGCCTATGAGGTAAGCACCATTGTTATTCCCATTTAACAGACAGGAAAACTGAGAGATAAGGAAACAAGTGACATATCACATGGTCCAATCTGGGATCTGGATCTAGGCTTTCCTGACTAAATCCAGGACTCTAGTTATCCTTCTTCACCATCATTTATACCAATAGCTGTTATACAAGTAGGGAGGTGTCATAGTACAATGGAAAGAAGACTGGACCACAGTCAGAAGACTTGGTTTCGAATCCCAGCTCCCCTACTCCATACTGGGAGGCCCTGAACATGCATTTCATCTACAAGTTCCTGATCTGTAAAAAGAGGGTTTGGGGCTTGATAACCTAAGAAATCTAGGCTAGCTTGGACTTCTTGAGAGAAGGGGCTATTTGCTTTTATCCACAGTGCCTGGTTAATTTTAAGTGTGTAACAAATATTTGTTGAATACTTGCATGTATTAATGAATGGATGACTAAAAACTAGTATCCTATGAATTTCTCTGACCCTTAATTTCCTCATCTGTAAAATAGTGTTAATAAACAGTATATACTTCATAGCGTTGTTATAGAGCCCAGATGAAATCATGTATACTGGGTGCTTGGCAAACCTTAAAGTCCTATAAAAATGTCAGTTATTATTATTGCTATTACTATTGAACCATATAGCCCTACCATGACCGACAACAGAGCCTTTCACATATATGCTGGATGAGATCAGTTGACAAATCCACAAGTGTTTATTATAGGACAACTCGATGCCAGGCACCAAAGATACCAATATTGAAGTGAAACAATTCCTGCTTTCAAGGTGTTCATAGTCAAGCCGGCAAGACACTATGCACATATGTAAGTTTCTACAAAATACATAAGAAGTACAATTATCTCTACCATGTGGCAGGGCTGAGGGGCATGGCACCCCCAGGATCTGGAAAATCTATGTAAAATCTTTTGGCCCTCCCTTCATACCAGAGAAGAAATCTGAAGTTTTTCATTTTCTTTTATGGAATATTTATGGTACCTTATTGTAAAATTGGGGTTGATGTTATACAATACTATACATCTATTTTGTGCATTTCTGAGTTTCTAAACTTTTTCTGTATCATCTGCTGGCCTTCATGCATTGTCTGTGGCTCTAGCAAAACTCCAAAATTCCTATTTAATTTCTTATGCCTATTCATGATACATCAAAACCACAATGGGGTAAGTTGTGATGTGGAAAGAATAACAAGGAAATTTGGCAAGATGGCATGTGAAGGGCAGGAATGAAGCCTTTCTGTCCCTTGAGCTGAGTTTTGGAGGGAAGCAGAAAGGCTGGGAGGGGGGAGAGAAGGAGAGTCTCCTGTTCCAGTCCCCCTCCCACCAGCCCTTTGAATCTTTGCTCTCCACATCCCATCACTCTCCTTCACACTGCTACAAAATTCCCCTCATTGAATGACCTTTCATTTTTATACCAGAAAGATCGCCACACTGAAGCACATACCCAGGGCATGGGTGGGAGCATCTGCTAACACCTCTGAGTGGGGCGTACATCGGGGCACCGTACAAACAGGACCGCATGTTCCAAGGGTCCCCCTCCTGTGGAATGCATCAGTGCCTTGTCTTCTCATCAGCAATTACAGACAGATTTTCTCAGCATGGGAACTGCCGTGGCAATCAGATGACTGTACCGGAAGCATTTTTGGGATGGGTGTGTGAAGATGGCCTAATTGTATTCGTTCCCAGTTTTGTAATCTGTTTTATTAATGTCCTGGAGGCAAAAAAAAATGCTTTTGGAATTTTCCCCTAGTGGCTGGTGGATCTTTTTTTATTTTGTTTCCAGTTTTGCTCTCTGTTTCACACATACAGACACACAGCCCAGTCAGGTTAAGCTGAAAGGACGTACAAATTTGTATACCTGTAAGAGTTCCTAGTTTCTTTCCCCAAATCTTAACATCAAGTCACAGAACATTAAGATTGGGAGGGACCTAAAATGTCTCCTTGTATGTCCTCTTTCCCACATTATACATTTTAAAGTCCTACTTGGTTCTGACATTCTCTATCCTATGATCCTTCCAGTTCTGACATTCTATGTGTTGTAAAATAACTTTCAGCTAAGATATTCTGTGTTCTAAGGTCCCTTCCAGCTATAACACTGCATGCTTTATAAAGTTCCACTTTCCACCAACTCCCCAAGCTCTGACATTCTGTATCCTTAATTCCCTCTGAGCTCTGATATTCCATGTTCTAGGGACCCTGCCAGGTATAATGTGACCCTCAGCTCTGGCATTCTCTATTCTAAGATCCCTCTTTGCTCTGGAATTCTGTGGTCTAAGTCTCCTCCTGGTTCTGTTGCTCTGTGATTATGTGACACGATTATGCTTACTCTAATCCAGTTATCACTAAACATGAAGAATGCAATTATCCATTCTGATGGGCCCTCATTGGATCTGCAAATAAAGAGGGAATAAATGTAATTTGTTGTTTATGCCTTGGACAAAGAATAATAGTGTCACATGTACTTATATTTTAATTCGCTTTCCTAAATCAATACATTTAAGAGAGGCAACCAGGAAAAAAGATTCTGGAAGGGAATGCTTTGGACCAGTTCGTGTTATTTCCCTGCTCAATACATTCTAGTGTCTGCCTGTTGCCTCTAGAATCGCATCCAAACTCTTCTGTCTGTCTATCTATCTAGCTTTCATCTCTATTCCAACTTTAACTCCTTTTATACCCTGGCTCTAGCCAATCTCTTCAGTTTTATGATATGACTCCCCCTCAAACCCTCTCTATCCCAGCAAAACTGGCCTTCATGGTGTTACCCACACCTCACATTCCATCTCCTGCCCCTGGAATGCTCATTTATGACTCTTGGAATTTTTGTCTCCCTCAAAGGCTCAGATCAAGTATCTTCTTCCAGAAGGGACCTTTCCTAGTCTAGGCTGGGGTAGGGGGACCACAATAGTCAATGTGCCACCACCAGCAATTTATATATATATACATATAGATACATAAATACACTCCTATATTTATCTATCTATCTATCTATATATGTCTATATCTATCTATCAACACATATAACACACATATAGGGTATTTCCTACATTTACTTATCTAAAAACTATCATATCCCCCCAGTGAAATGTTAAATCTCAGAGGGCCAGGCTATTGCTGGTTTTTATTTGTATCCCCAGTACCCAGAACAGCCCAGATTCACAGTAGGCACCAAACAAATGTTACTGATTGATAGATTGATTGGTTGTTGAGCATGTTTTCTGGATTTGGCATTGTTCTATGGCTGGCACTTTGGGCCATACAGTGATGGATGAGAAAATCTTTCTGATCCCAAGGAGCCATCAATCTAACAGGATGAATGGTACTGATACCACACATTTCAGGAATACTTTGAGATTTACTCCAACCCAATTCTCTCTAGACTCCAACTCAAGTACTTCCTCCCCCATTCCCCTTCTACAGTGGGCAGTGATACCTAGCCAATAGGACCTCAGCCCCCTTAATTCTCCTCCAAATTGAGAAGATCTGAGTTTGCTCCCTTGCTCTGAAACATAGTACATTTATGCCCCTGATAAAATCACTGATTCTTTCTGAGTCTCATTTTCTTCATCTGTAAAATCATTATCATAATTACATCTTAGGCATGGTATGATAAGGTTCATATGAGATAACATATGTACATAAAATGCTTTGCACAATTTAAAGTACTGCATGAGTGTGAGCTATTATCATTAGGAATAATAGCTGAAGTATATGCATGTATGTGCCTATCTATAGATAGGTAAATAGACATGTACATCTATATATACATATATGTATATCTATATAGATAGATATGTATAGACACATGTCTATAGATATAGGTGTCTATACATATCAATCTATCTCTATCTCTATCTGCATATGTGTGTGTATTATATATATAAATTCATATATATGCACATGCACACACATATACATAAAGAAACATCTCTTTAGATTCTATAAAGCCACAAAAATGTTAAGAAATGAGGAGAGCAAAGATTACTATCTTCATTTAACAGATGAAGAAATTGAAACTCAGAAAGGAGAGACTTGTTTCAGTCAAAGAGAGAGGGCTCAAACCCAGGTCTCTTTACTCTTATCCCAGCCTTATTTTCCCCTACACAGTACTGGGGATCAGACATGGGTCGTAGTACACAATCATACCAGCTTGTGTGGGATAAGAGACAATGAGCATTGAGTTGAAGCTAGAGGGAGACACATTTCTGTGCAATTTAAGGGCTTCATAATAATTAGAACTGTCCAGCAATGGAATAGCTTGTCTTAGGGAGATTCACAGGCTCTTGGATTGTTATAGCTAAAAAGAGACCTTAGAATAGGGGATGTCAGAGCTGGGAGGGGCCTTAGGGATCATTAGTTTCATTCTGTAAGTATAAAAAGTGAAACCCCAAAAGGGGTATGATTTACCCAAGGTAGCACAACCAGTAAGTGGTTGAAATGTGATTCAGACAGTTCTAGGCACAGAGAAGGTGCTCAGCAATCAGAAACATTTATTAAGTGTCTCTCATGTATCAGGCGTTGTTCTAGGTACCAGACCCATCTCCTGACTCTACCCAATGTACATTCATTCTAGGTAATGCCCCTCCCATCCCTGGAAGTCTCAGACAGAGGTTCTATGTGCCATGGTAGGGGATGCTGGACGGAGGATTTGCATTTCAGATACCTCCTGGGGCATTTCCCAGCTCTCAAACACTTTAATTTTTACTGCATGAGAATGGTATTAAAGTGTTATATTAATTAAAGGCAAGAGGGGCCCATTTCTGCTTGGGAGAACAGAGGGAAATAAGGAAAGGAAAGGGATTAAATCTTTATACAGAGCCTGCTATGAGCTGGGAACTGCACTAAGCACTTTACAAATACCATCTCATTTGATCCTCACAACCCTGGGAGGTAGGTGCCATTATTATCTTTATTTTATACTTGAGGCAAACAGAGGCTAAGTGACTTGCACAGTGTCACACAGCTTGTAAGTGACTGAGACAGGATTTGCACTCAGGTCTTCCTAGCCTTAGGCCCAGCACTCTATCCACTGTACCATCTAGCTCCCTCTAAAGGGAAGAGCTGAGGAGGCTTCTTGGAGAGGTTGACAGTGACATTGTTTCACCTGGCTGATGTTGCTATGTGACTCCTTGTATCCATGGGACATTTGTGTATCTCTGCTTTTCTTCTCACAAAGGAACCCTTCCAGCATCTTCCTAGTGACCTCTGGCTCTCTCCTTTGACCATAGCCCATTTCTTTAAGCACATGTTGGATCCTCTCAATATTGTTTATAAATTACATACTATATTGTGTTTCTACATCACCTCTTTTTCCCAATATTTCCCTCCCTCTCTCCCATCACTAGGCTATTTTTTATAATAAGAAATAAAAAGGAAAGTTTAGCAAACCTGACCAGAACATTAAGCAAACTTGAGAATATATGCTCTACTTCCTGCCTGTAGTCTCCCACCTTCTGGAAAGGTGGGAGGGAAATGTCTTCTCTTATCCCTTCTTTAGGCCAAGCTTGGCCATTATTATTACAAAGAGTTGAATTCCATTTTTTTTTCTTCTGGGGCCCATTCACTTTCTTGTAATTAGTAGTCAACTAGTCAACAAACATTTATTAGGCACCTGCCATGTGACAGTCATTGTGCCAAGTTTTTCAAATACAAAATACAAAAGGAGGCAAATACAAAAATACAAAAAGAGGCAAAAGACAGTTTATACCCTCAAAGAGCTCATAATCTAATGAGAGAGACAACAAGCAAACAAATATGTACAAATAAGTTATGTACTGGAGAAATAATTAACAGGAAATAATTAACAGAGGGAAGGCACTAGAGTTAAGACGGGTTGGAAAAGGCTTCCTGTGGAAGATGGGATTGTAGTTGGGGCTTCAGGAAAGCCAGGGAATTGAATAGGTGGAGGTGAGGGTGGGGAGCATTCCAGGTATGGAGGACAGGTAAAGAAAATTCCAAGAAATAGAAGTTTGTTTATGGAACACTGAGGAGGCCAGTGTTACTAGATCAGAGTATGTGGTAGAGAGTAAGCATAAGACTGGAAGAATAGTAGGGAGTTAGGTGATAAAGGACTTTGAATGGCAAACACAGTATTTTGTATTTGATCCTGAAGGTCTTAAAGAATCATTGGAGTTTATTGAATAGGGAGGTGACATGGTAGGACCTGTGCTTTAGGAAAATCACTTTAGTGGCTGAATGGAGGATGGATTGGAGTGGGGAGAGACTTGAGGCAGGCAGATTCACCAGCAGTTATGACAATAATCCAGGCATGAGATCACAAAGACCTGTACCAGTTTGGGGGCAGTGTCAGAAGAGAGAAGGGTGTATTTGAAAGTTGATCCAAAGGTGAAATTGATAAACTTTTGCAACAGATTGGATCTGGGAGGGGTGGTGAGAGAGTGGAAAATCCAGGATGACTTCTAGGTTGGGAGCCCAAGGCACTGGGAGGATGGCATGGTCTCTACAGTAATAGGGAAGTTAAGAGAAGGGATGGGATTATGGGGAAAATTAATGAATTCCATTTAGGACATGTTGAGTTTAAGATGTCCACTGGAAATCCGGTTTGAGATGTCTGAAAGGCAGTTGGACACATGAGATTGGAGTTCAGCAGAAGGTTGGGGGCAAGATGGGTAGACTTAAGGATCATCAGTGTAGAGATGGCAATTAGATCCATGGGAACTGATGAGATCACCAAGTGAAGTAGTATAGAGGGAGAAAAGAAGAGAGCCCAGAGCAGAATGCTGAGGAACATC